TGTATGAGATCACTGTAAAGTAAGTTAAGTTAATGACCATAAACCTGAAGCTGTAATGAGATCACTGTAAAGTAAGTTAAGTTAATGATCATAAACCTGAAGCTGTAATGAGATCACTGTAAAGTAAGTTAAGTTAATGACCATAAACCTGAAGCTGTAATGAGATCACTGTAAAGTAAGTTAAGTTAATGACCATAAACCTGAAGCTGTAATGAGATCACTGTAAAGTAAGTTAAGTTAATGATCATAAACCTGAAGCTGTAATGAGATCACTGTAAAGTAAGTTAAGTTAATGACCATAAACCTGAAGCTGTAATGAGATCACTGTAAAGTAAACCACAGACAACAAAATTGCCACCATTTTGAATTTGATCTGCAAAGTGGGATCCATAATGTTCAGTATACATTATACACTGTACTAAGTTTAAACAAAAGCCATGCATATACATGCACAGAGGTGATCTAGAAATGCCAGGGTACGTACATGTACATACATTGTACGTATGTACATGTATTAATGCATGTATAATAACAAATTATACCTTTAATAGTGTGTGTACTGTAAAATACTTTATTTTCACTTGGAATTAATTTTCGCTGAAGGAATAATTCAGTGAAAATAAAATCTAGCAAATATACCTTTTTAGGGAAAAAAACAAGCCAGGATTTTGGCAGGGAAAATAATTAACAACAATTGGAGACAAAATGATTTACATAAATGAAAACAACATATCAGGTTACTGCTTTATCTGATTTAGGAGACCTAGTTACATCATAGACCTTAGAAAGAGAGGGACAGGCAACTGGATTATAAAACAAAGGATTTCACGACATCCGGCGTGCAACGTGGGTTACTACAGTTATAAACAAATGACCAAGCTAAGGAAGCCGTATGCCGTCACTCACAATCAATCGGCCACGCAGTTTGCAACACGTCTTTCAGTGCTTGTGCTCATTACATTGAATTTTTAATTTCAATACAAGATCCATTTTTTTTGTACTGGTTATCAGGTGACACTTATTATATGTAGAGTTAGAATTCGTTTTTTTTCATCAGTATAAATTAACTACTCGGCTGATTTTATGTGCGGTGACAAATGGTTGACTAATACTTATCCTGCGACTGCCATATTTTCGCCCATTTTCAGGAAAATAAAAACACTTGTTGTTTGCATTATCGTATTTTCACTTAAATCATACTATTTTCAATGATACTCGCATAGTTTTAGTTTTGCTAGTCTATATTTTAAAATTGTAATTCTGAAATTTCCGAACTGTCTGAAAGGCCGTCTGTACACTGCAGACAGGACTCGTCCAGATTGTTTTTAGATCGCTGTATTTTCGCCCCTTTTCTCAAAAATAAAACATCTATTGTTCCATTTTTGGCGGTTTTTACTTGAGTCCTGCCATTTTCGAAGTAATTAGGGTATGTTATTTTGATGACTTGCTATACAATCGGTCGAAATTACGAATTTTCTAAACTGTTTGAAACCGTGAAAGTCAGCAGCTTACACCAGAAATTGCTGACCCGGTTTGTGTTAGATCATTGTATTTTCGCCCGACTTGTCAAAAATAAAACATCTGTTGTTCAAATTCTTGCATTTTTTACTTGAGTCATGCCATTTTCGAAGTAATTAGGGTATTTTAATTTGATAACTTGCTATACAAAAGTCGAAATTACGATTTTTCTAAACTGTTTGAAACCATGAAAGTCAACAGCTTACACCGGAAATGGCTGACCCGGTTTGTTTTAGATCGCTGTATTTTCGCTCGATTTCTCAAATTAAAAACATCTGTTGTTCAAATTATTGCGTTTACTTAATAATTTGGGTATTTTAATTTGATTACTTGCTTTAAAACAAGCAGCCTATCGGCTGAGATAGCTCCGCTGTTAGCAATGCACATTTCAATTAAAGAACTAAAGACATCATTAGAAAATGAACAATATGTATATGTCCACATGTAGTACCTATATATGTAATATCAAAGCAATCGAAAATATCACTTTTTACCAAAAATGACAAAAATATTCACCAAAATTAGAGAATTGAAGATATCATCACAAAATGAACAAATCTGAGAAAGGTCTACATGTAGTATCTATATATGTAATATCAAAGCAATTGAATTTTTGGTTTTTAACAAGAAGTCGAAAATATCACTTTTTACCAAAAATTACAAAAATATTCACCAAAATTAGAGAATTGAAGATATCATCACAAAATGAACAAATCTGAGAGAGGTCGACATGTAGTACCTATATATGTAATATCAAAGCAATCGAAAATATCACTTTTTACCAAAAATGACAAAAATATTCACCAAAATTAGAGAATTGAAGATATCATCACAAAATGAACAAATCTGAGAAAGGTCTATATGTAGTATCTATATATGTAATATCAAAGCAATTGAACTGTTCGTTTTTAACAAGAAGTCGTAAATATCACTTTTTACCAAAAATGACAAAAATATTCACCAAAATTAGAGAATTAAAGATATCATTACAAAATGAACAAATCTGAAAGAGAGGTCTACCCCAGGTACATATACACCAAGTATCAAAGCATTCAGCTTGTAGTTTTCAAAGTAAAACATT